AACCCAAAACATTATTATCACCTGAACTAAGCAGCTGAACTCCCTGAGCCAGACATGATAAACTGCACATTAAGAGTCTCTCACTGATTATGTTTATGGTCTCTTCTCATCATCTCTTGGTCGCAGTTTAATGGACTCTGTGATGATTTCTACGGTCACATCCATTTAGGGCAACAGCTGTGTGATGATGCCCAGAGATTGGATTTTGTTCACGTTCCTGTCAGGGCAGATCTGATTTACAGATACCTCAGACATGCATTCTAATCAGCATTGTGTTGTCAGGAGGTAATTCACTATTAAAAATAACTCCCAGTGTGAGGATGTGTACCCTGAGGGGAACAAGAAAACAGCAGGGTGGAAACAAAATGGAGATTGTGGGACATCAATACGGCAGCAATGAGAAGAAGTGGATTTCTTCTGCTTCTTCAGGCAAATTTCTCTTTTTGTTTTTACATCTGTGGATATTTCTAATACCGTGTTTTGGGAATTAAAACTTTTTGCTGAAACTAATCCATCTTGTACATTTGTGAGGCCATTGCATCTCCATGGAAACCCTCTAAATCAAAAAGATGTAATTCAGGTCTACACCTTTTTTACTCCGAGGAAGTGCTATGATTAATTACTAACTATGTTCTGGTTTTATTCTTCCGGTAGTTTTATTTTTAGTACCGGTAGATAACACAGATAAGCATTTTGCTGCCTTTAAATATTAAATATTTAAAATACAGAAAAAAACTCATCCTACAGGCATCAGTCTTATAATTTAAAATCAAATTGATCAAAATTAAAGAACTATTTATGTTTTTATTTTCCTCCTCATATTTCTACAACTCTGTGTCACATCCAGCTCTGCTGATTAGTTTCTTTCTTTTTCTTTTGTCATTTTGTGTCTGACTAAGTTATTTTTTGAACTTCCTGTTTTTTTTGTGCAATAATTTCTGTTCTCATCTGAGACAACCTTAATTAGCCTCTCTAACCCTGCTCACCTGTTGTCTATTGCCTTAGCTATTTAAACTACCCCCTCTGCAGCCTTCTTTGCCAGTTCGTCTTCGTCACTGTTGTGTTCCAGCCTTTGTTCTACCTTGCCTGCTTATCAGCTGAGCTATTTTGGCGTACTTGTTTCTGACTTACAGGTACGCCTGAAAATTTGAAAAGTTTATGAAAACTAATCAAATGCCTGATAACTATAAGATTATACTGTCCATGGAATGTGGGAAAAACAAAGGCTAATGGAAATGACAACTGGGGGGGGGGGAGGCACTATCGGTCCTAAATCCGTAACAAATGCCAAACAGATGCCATGATTTTTAAAATTTGATACACCAAGGTGTATATCCTATAAAGTTTCCCAAGCTAAAAGCCTGGATTATATTGATTAGACTTAGACTTTATTGGCATTTTTTGCACATAGTGTATAAAACACCAAATGTCGTTGCTTACAGCTTACAAAAGTGAAATGAATATTACCATTAATATTCATTAGTGCAGCAGAGATCAAGAATGTAAACCGTGTAGGAAAGAAGGAAACCAGTTTAAAAGTCATGCTGTTCAAAAGCAATGGTGCAAAGTGCATTGATGTAGAAAGGTGCAGTGCAAAATAAATATGGTGCAACATGCAGTAGAACATTGAGCTTTGTTCTATTTTAAGAGATTATGAAAAGAAAAACAAACAGCCATGCTGGAGGTATAACTATGATGTTGCAGTTGTGATGCAGAGTCTAGTTAAGTGTTTCAACAGTTCCACAGTCTGATGGAAGTGGCTGCAGGACCTGCAACGGATGCTGTGAAGCCTCTGGCAAAAAGAAGTCAGCATTTTTTAGCCACATAACGAGGCGTCTTCCAACCCGAACAATCCTCCACGCTATGACATAATCCGATGACTAATCTGGCCTTCAGAGGACAAATTGAGCAAAAGTTATACTGGATTATTTAGATTACTTTAAAGTACATGGTTAGTATAGGCAACATTTGTTGCTACCAATCCTGCGGTGGAAATCTACTCTAAATCCAGCGAAGGTTCTAGAAGTCCTTCCCTCAACATTTGCATTAGAATCTGTTGGAAGCAGCAAATAAAAACTTGCATCTAAAACTATTTTATATAGTTTATATAAATAAACAGAATAACTTGTAGATATATAAGGATTATAGTTCAGAATAAATTATTCTGCTTATTAAGTATCTAACTGTCCTATTCAGTGTGGGAATGATGTCCAGAAACTGACTAAATATGCTAATATTACAGATGGATCTACTTTCCATGATTTACACATGATTGTGTTTCTGCTGATTGTTTGCATCTGATTTGTATTCAGTCTATTTACTCCCACTAATGTTTTTCTTCCCTCTTGCCTAGACATTCTGTCATGGTGTGCAGCGGTCAGAGGCTGAAGTGGCGACAGGATGTTGGCAGCTGCATGTTTGATGGATATGCTAACTTATAGGAAACTGAGGAAGAAGCAGACATGTCAGCGGTGAGGGAACAGCTCTGTCTACTTTTCTGGAAGACAAACTTGTTTAGAAGTCTACAAAATGTCCAAGATCATAAAGTTTGAAATGAAATCTGAAGTTCAAAACACTTCCATTCATCAGATTAGTTCTATTAGGAATTAATTCAAACAGACATCAGTGGTAAGCTACATCCCAGCTGTTTTTTTAGACTTAGACATTTTTATTCTAAAATTTTATTTTGTACAGGCCTCATGATGTTTCCATTTTTTAAAGTGCAGCAGTGATCAAATGTAAACATTGTGGGACAAAAAAAAACATGGCACAAATTTTATCTTTCACTTTTTATAATTTTACCTTTTTTTTTCTTCTGAAAGCTGAGTGTAGGTTGAATTTCCCCTCTTCTTATTATGCATCAAAATTACAACAGTTTATCAGCAGCTGGATTTTTTCCCCCCAAAGTTCTGTTGACATAAATCACACCTGTTTTGTGTTTCTGTTCATTGCACTCACCTGTTTTCCATGTGGCCTGTCTGTTCCCTGTGGTATTCAAGCTGCTGTCAGCTTCCTCAGTCAACATCGTTTGTGTTCCTGATTTTGTTTAGTGTGCTGTAAGTTTTCTGCTTTCTTGCCCTCGCTCAGCAGCCTCCTCCACCTGCCTGTCTGGGTTATTTTGTTTCCTTGTTCATGTTCTCTTTGGGGCATCTGGTGTTCATGATTGAGGCTGAGGTGCTATCAGGAATCCACTCATAGATTTTGGATAAACTAGACATAAAGCTTATGAGTAACTTACTCTTAACATATGTCTATGATCAAATAATTTACCTGTAACTTATGGCCAACATAAGCTGGCAATACGTCAAGAAATTTTGAGCATGCTAAAAATTTTTGACGTATGTCGACATGTGCCAGTGTGTTTCTGCAGATTCTTTTTCCTCCCACAATGTTTACATTTTATCACTGCTGCACTTTAATAAAATGGAAACTTCATGAGAACTGTACAAAACAAAATTTCCTTTTATATATACTCTGTGTAAACAAAATGACAATAAATGGTGTCTAAGTCTACGATTTAAGAGAACAGATTGTTTGTAATAAAATATATATATATATATATATATATATATATATATATATATATATATATATATATATATATATATATATATATATATATATATATATATATGTTTAGATTAGTGTTTCAGATTTATTTTAGACCAGCAGTGGAGGCCTTGAAGGCCCTGATTAACCACCACTGATAAAACCCTAACTGTAAGCCTCATTAGTGAACCATTCAGTGCCATGGTCCATCCTCACCTCCAGGGTCTTTTAAACCGTTTCTTTATAGAAATATACATTGCACAGCCCCCATCCCCTAACCTGTTTATCTCAGAGTTTTTAAGAAGCAACTTCCATCCAAAACTCCAACTGGAATAAATTGAGAATAGCTTGACAGTTGCAGTTTTAAAGCCTAAAGTTTTTTTTTTTCTAAACACTGTATACATTGCGCAATGCCATTAAAATATTTTTGAAAACCCAGGAGGTGCATTCATTTTTTATTTTCTGACAGCAGCTTTATGATACAACTGCAGCATATCAAGAGGCAATCAATTGGAGCACGTTTGTTCCACAGAGGCAGTGGGCCTTGTGCAGCTGTCATCTTGGCACAACTTAGCCAAATGTGCCAAAACAGTTTTTTTTATGAAAATGAATTGGGTCAATAAAAGTACAGAGCTCTGCTTTGAGACTCTGTAAATGTGACAATGTGTGTAAAGCAAGTCCATAACCCCATATATGCATGAAAAGTGTAATGTCCTAATAAACATGCTTTTAAATTGCTGTTAAAACAATAATAAATAAAAAAATGTGGGTGCGTGGTGTAATATGAAACATTAAATCCTCTTTTAATAAAGGAGTCCTTAGCTGGTATTTTATCCACATCAATCCTTCTGAAATTGATTTTGAATTCAAGTTTTATCTTTTTGAATAAAGCTCATCTGAACCCTTTATTGATATATTTTCTGTGAAGGTACACGCAAGAATTTGACTCGTTAACACTGAACATGTTCCACATTATGTTTTTTTTGTTTTTGTTTTTTTGTTAGCCGTATTTGAAGGCTGTGCTTTACTTTAAATTTAAAATGGTTAAACCAGAACAAACTTTGCTCACTTTACCACGTCATCGACCAGGAGGGGCTTCTATCTGCTGCTTGCTGGATATTAATTAGTGTTGCACTGATAGCAACACCAGTATTAGGTAGGATCCCGATCCAGCACTAAAATGGTGGTATCGGTTTCTGTGAGTACCAACAAATAGGGCCCCGATACCATTTTGAGAGTCAAAAGTTTATTAAACTATTGTCACCCATTCTAGGTAGGCAATAAAAATATCTACTGGATTTACTTTGTTTTAGTCTTTTTCCTTCTTCACAAAGGTAGACAGCAGCTTGACATGAAGCCATGATGGTAATTATTTTACATCCAAGTAGTCTGCAGTTCTTCATATAATCACACACAAACATCAATTTCAAACAGATGGTAGCATTGTCGTATCGGTATCGGCTGATACTCCACAGCCAGGTATCGGTATCGGGGCCAAAACATGGCATCGGCGCTACACTAGTTTTACTTCAAGATGGCGGACCTGGATTTCACCGAGCAGGTCACATGGACAGCGGAATGTTGGTATTCCTGAATCTTCGGATCGGCCAGAGAGATTTCCATTTCAGGGAGTCCAGGAGCTACAGCTGGATAAAATTAGCTTCTTTTGGTACTTCTGTCTAATCAGGACCTGAAACTGTTATCCTGTTTTGGGACTGATTTCTCAGACTATAGAGATAAGGTGATGAGGCCTTCTAGAGATCAGACATAGCACCAGAGTGGGGCAGAGGTGGTGGCTGGCTGTGACCAGCTAAGGAGCCACAAGAGGAGGGCGAATGATTTAATAGTCCTATTAAGGTTGAATTAAAACAGCTTTATTAAAAGACATAAACCTCATAGAAGCAATCCTTACTTCCTTTTATGTTGGTAATTATTTTCCCCTCTTCATTTTGATTGTAAAAAACGTCTCTGCTGCGCTACGTCTCCCTACCTAACAACAACAACCCTGTTTTTTTGATCGCATGATTTGACAAAAAAGTTCAGAATTTTAAACTGCACTGAAATGAACTTGGGCATGTGGCTTCACTCTGGCTTCTCTGTATTTACCCCAATCACACCACCTGCATAGCTAAAAACCATGTCCTTTGCATTGTTGCACCTCTACACAATGGCCTTCAGGGTTGTTGTGTCCTTGGGCAAGGCACTTCACCCGCAATGCCTATTGATGGTGGTCAGAGGGACTGGTCGCGCCAGTGTTTGGCAGCCTGGCTTCTGTCATTGAGCCCCAGGACAGCTGTGGCCACAATGTAGCTCACCACCATCAGTGTGTGACTGAATGGGTGAATGTAGTGTAAAGTGCTTTGGTCAAGACCTCTGACTTGAAAAAGTGCTAAAAAAGTTAAAAAGTTACAAAAACAGCAATGGAATAGAGACCAGCGGGAGAATAGCAAGGTGGGCTAATGTTAGCATTCCCTCAACGAATGGATGATGACCAAAACTGTGCGCCCTAGAGATCAAGCTCTTGGGGGCTATTGCAAATATGTTAACATGAAAAGGTCATATTTACAGGTAATGCCTCAGTTGTGGGGTGGATATATATCACCTCAATTAAACCAACACTAAATTCATTTTTAACTTTCTTAAGATATTTTCATAACGGGGAACAAAAATATAGTTTATTCCAACTGCAGGTGACCAGAAGATAAGAATTTTAGTGCGCTATGCACAGCTTCATGGAATATGGTGTCTTCCTTCAGGCAAAACTTCTGTGCACTGGGGGGAAGCCAAAATCAAGCAAAACTGAAAGTTCGTTAGAACTGCTTTAACTGTAATTAAGTTTAATAAATGTTGCAAAAGTGTTGTGCCATTGCCAAAGTTTGGGGGTCTACAAACTAATCACAGCCACCATATTTTTCCTTGATCTATTTTCTTTCTCTTCATTAATTAAGTCTGTCACAGTCTTGGTTCTGTTATGTTTACTTTTGAGTCTTCAGTTTTACTTTGCTCCATGTTTTCTAGTTTTATTGGTTGAATTCCTATTTTGTTATGTTTTCTAGTTATAAATCAGATCTTAGGTTTTTCTTTGTTGCCCTCTGTTGCCCTCTTGTGTATGTCTCCTTTTCCCTAGCTCCTTTCTAGACTGCTCTCTTCACACCTGCTCCCAATCTGCTCATTAGTCCTCTCTTTGTTCAGTCTCCCATAAATACTCTCCTTATGCAGTTCCTCAGTGCTGGTTCCTCGCCTTACTCCGTCTTACCTCATCTTACCTCGTCTTACCCTGGCTACTTGTGATTGTTTTCCCCTGATGTCTCCATGGTTCTGGTTTGTTTTACATTTTTCATGTTGGATTTTTGGATTCCTGCCTCAGTTGTTTGTGAACATTTCATTAAATCTACAAAAACTAACCTCTGCCTGCCTGCCTCTGCATTTGGGTCCTCAAACCTCATCCAAACCCTGACAAAGTCAAACTGAAATGTACTTCTTCAACAAGCCATTTTCAGTGTTGGATTCAATCTGCCGGGTCCAACATGAGGAGTTTTCAGGACTTTGCAAGATTTATCAACTCAAAGTCTTATCATTATTACTGTTGTGTATTATTATTATTATTATTATTATTATTATTGTGTGTGATGGAGCGCCACTAAGTGTCCATCCCAGACTCTACGTGCCCGTGCTCCCTCTGGCCCAGGGGAGCGATGACCGGTTCAGATGAGGGGGGGGTGCTCCCCGTGCACGTCCGAGGGTGCACACTCGGCGCCGAGCTTCCACACACTCACCTCTCATCCCTGCTTCAGTCCCGCTGTTCCTGGTCCAGGGGCCAAACCGGAGCACTTCCGCATCATGCTGGAAAAAGCGCAGAGTGTCGTGCTTTGCCAGTCACGTGACAAAGGACTTAACCATTTCGGGTGTTTTGTTTTGTATTTTTATATTGTTTATGTTCCTGACGTTTTG